TGCAACAACGTCCTTATCAGCAGCAACAGCCGCAACAACCAGAATGCCAGCAGCAGCAGCAGCAACAATTGATGCACAATCAAATGGGGCGGGAAATGGAAAAGGGAGGGAGCATTGGAGGGGCACTTGCACCCACCCTCCTTGGCAGCAGCAGTAATCAGCAGCAACAGCTGGCGCATCAGCAGCAGCCACAATCAGTGGATGGTCAAATGCACGGATGGTCAACGCAACCAATGCACGGTCAAATTGGCCGAGAAATGGGTATGGGAGGGGGCATTGGAGGGGCATTAGCACCCACCTTAAGCAGCAGCATGAGCTCCTCTTACGATGATGACGCTGCTTCAGGCAGCAGTGCTGGGGACAACTTAATCAGTGACACATCTAATGATACGGTTGGAACCAGTTACTCAGTTACCCGTGACACTGTTACCAGTTACACATGCAGTATTGTTAGCAGTGATGCTGTTGTCACTCGTCACAATGTTCCCAGCAGCACGGTTGCACGCTTGGTAAGTCCGGCCTCTCTCCTACTTCCAGGCGCTCAGATGGGAAGTCCAGCTGAAGAAGCAGCAGGAACGGGTGCAACGGTTGTGCCATCAGCAGCAGCACCCGCAACACCTGCAGTAGCAGCAGCACCCCTAGCAAGACCAGGCATAGCAGATTTTCCCTTGGTAACACCATCCGAAGCAGCAGCACCGTTACCTGCCACAGCGCCAGCAGAACTGGCAGCACCAGCGCCAGCACCAGCATCAGTGGCAGCACCAGTGGCAGCATTACCAGCATCAGTGGCAGCAACGCCAGTAGCAATGGCACCAGCGACTCCAGTAGCAGTGGCAGTAGCACCGTTAGCAACAGTGGCAGCAGCAGGAGGAATGCAGGAGCTGCAGCAACTGCTGGAAAAGCTGCAGCACGTACAGGTCCACGCTCTTGCTGCTGCTGCACCCACTGCAGCAACATCAGCAGCAGCGGCAGCAGCAGGAGGGATGCCAACGGTGCTGCAACTGCTGCAGCGCGTTCAGCAGATCCTGGGAAGCCAAAACGCCCTCCCTCTTACCGTCCCTCTTCGTGAGTCGACTCAAGAGCAGCTGCAGCATGTGCAGCTTGTTGGGGGCAGCCAAAACGCCCTCCCTCTTGCCCTTACACCAACGGCTGCTGTCGCCGCTACCCCTGCTGCCGCTTTTGCTGCCACTGCTGATGCATCAGTAGCAGCACGCTCAGCAGCAACAAATGCTGGTTTTACAGCAGCACTGGCGCCTGCTGCTGCTGCTCCTATAGTTGCTGCTGCTCCTATAGTTGCTGCTGCTCCTTTACCTGCTTGCCCTGCTGATCCACCTAATTTTCCTGCCAATCCACCTGCTTCCCCTGCCCATCAACCTGCTTCCCCTGCCCATTTACCTGCTTCCCCTGCCTGTAATCTTGCTTCCCCTGCCCACCTACCTGCTTCCCCTACCCATCTACCTGCTTCCCCTTCCCATCTACCTCCTTCCTCTGCCCGACAACCTGCTTCCCGTACCCGTCGACCTCCTGCCCCTCTCCATCTACCTTCTTCCCCTGCCCGCCCACCTGCTTCCCCTGCCCATCTGCCTGCTTCCCCTGCCCATCCACCTGCTTCCCCTGCCCGCCCACCTGCTTCCCCTGCCCGCCCACCTGCTTCCCCTGCCCATCTACCTGCTTCCCCTGCCCATCTACCTGCTTCCCCTGCCCGTCAACCTCCTTCCCCTGCCCGTCAACCTGCTTCCCCTGCCCGTCAACCTGCGTCCCCTGCCCATCTACCTGCTTCGCATGGAGAGGAGGAAGAATACGAGGTGCCACCGTTGGAGCAGTGGAAAGCCCATGTGCTCAGGATGATTCCAACCTTGAGTGATGGAGAGGGAGAGGGAGGTAGAGAGGGAGAGGAGGAGATGGGATCACCAGCACCAGCAGCACCAGAAGCACTGGCAGTACCAGCAGCACCAGAAGCACTGGCAGCTCCAGCTTTTGTGCATTTCGAGGCACCTGAGAATGCACCTGAGGATGCACTTGACTATGCACCTGATGCACCGGTGGGGCCTGATCTAGGGTACTATAAGGCAGCGACCCCAGAGGCAGGTCTAGCATGCGTGGAAGCAGCTGTGGGAGAAGAAGCATTTCCATGTTCAGGTACATATTCAGGTGCATATTCAGGTGCACATTCAGGTAGATATTCAGGTGTTGGTGGTTCCGGGCATTCAGGTGAAAGTGAAAGTGACTCACTGGGAGCAGCAGCAGGTATAGCAGCAGCAGGTATAGGAGCAGCAGGTATAGGAGCAGCAGGTATAGGAGCAGCAGGTATAGGAGCAGCAGGTATAGAAGCAGCGGCTCGAAATACTGCTGCTTCTGGTCCAGGAGGTGGGATGGGGGAGGATGAAGAGGAGTCTCTCACGGAAGCTCTAGCTGCAGCTGCTGTTCGTGCTGGTGGTGCCACTTCCAGTAGCAATGCCTTGGCTGCTGCGAAGCTTAAGAAATTAGGACCGCTTGGCCTTCTGAAATTCGCTTGGTCTCCCACGAGGGGAAAGGGAGGGCGAGAGGGTGGGAAGGCGAAGGGAGGGGAGCAGGGCAGGAAGGAAGCCGAGAAAAGGAATATCACGGCTGATTATAATCAGAAATTGTTGGATCGGAAGAAAGAAGGGATGGGGTTACAGGCTGTGCGTGGGGCAGGTGAGAGATCACCTGCTGCTGCTATTGAAGGAGGGCGAGGGGGTGGGAAGGCGGAGGCAGGGCAGCAGGGGGGCAAGAAGGAAGATGAGGAACAGAATATCACGGCCAATTATAATCAGAAATTGTGGAAGAAAGAAGGGATGGAGTTACCATCCAAGCGTGGGGTGGGTGAGAGATCACCTGCTGCTGCTATTGAAGGAGGGCGACGGGGTGGGAAGGCGGAGGCAGGGCAGCAGGGGGGCAAGAAAGAAGATGACGAAAGGAATATCACGGCTGAGTATTGTCAGAAATTGTTGGATCGGAAGAAAGAAGGGATGAGGTTACCAGCTGTGCGTGGGGCGGGTGAGAGATCACCTGCTGCTGCTCCTGAAGGAGGGCGAGGGGGTGGGAATGCAGAGGCAGGGCAACAGGGGGACAAGAAAGAAGATGAGGAACAGAGTATCACGGCTAATTATAATCAGAAGTTGTTGGATCGGAAGAAAGAAGGGATGGGGTTACCAGCTGTGCGTGGGGCGGGTGAGAGATCACCTGCTGCTGCTATTGAAGGAGGGCGAGGGGGTGGGAAGGCAGAGGCAGGGCAGCAGGGGGACAAGAAGGAAGATGAGGAGAGGAGTACCACTGCTAATTATGATCAGAAATTGTTGGGTCGGAAGAAGGAAGGGATGGGGTTACCAGCCGTGCGTGGGGCGGGTGAGAGATCACCTGCTGCTGCTATTGGAGGGCGAGGGGGTGGGAAGGCAGAGGCAGGGCAGCAGGGGGACAAGAAGGAAGATGAGGAGAGAAGTATCACTGCTAATTATGATCAGAAATTGTTGGATCGGAAGAAGGAAGGGGATCCTGTTGCCGGCTTTCCCGGTGTTCCTGCTTTGGGCGGCACTCCTCTGTTGCAGGCTCTCCTCTCTTGAGGGGTGCTCCTATGTTAGGGGGTGCTCCTATGTTAGGGGGTGCTCCTATGTTAGGGGGTGCTCCTATGTTAGTGGGTGCTCTCTCCTCTCTGGCTTTTGGTCCAGGAGCTGGTTTTGGTGGGGGGAATGCTTTTGCTGCTGGTGCTGATTTTGGTGCTGGCGGTGGTTTTGGTGCTGGCGCTGGTCTTGGAGTGAACGGGGGCGGTAATGGTGTGAATGGTGGGGGTGATGGTGTGAATGGTGTGGGTGATGGTGTGAATGGTGTGGGTGATGGTGTGAATGGTGTGGGTTATGGTGTGAATGGTGTGGGTGATGGTGTGAATCGTGGGAGTCAGTTTGGGGAGGCGAAGGAAAGTGTAGCCGAAATTATCCTTAAAAGAGCTAACCTTAGAAAAGCAGGGACAGCAGCTGGAGCGTCAGCAGCAGGAGCAGGAGCAGCAAGAGGGGCAGTTGGGTTGTGAAGGGGGAAGCGAGTGTAGCTGATAAGATCCTTCGAGCAGCGAAGTGTGTTGAGAGAAAAGCAGGCGAGGCAGCAGCATCAGGAGCAGCACGAGCAGGCGCATCAACAGCAACAGCACCAGTCGCAGGAGCAGGAGGAGCAGGCTTATGCGGCTTATTCGTGATTTCCAGTGTAGTCGTTATGCGTCATGAAGGATTAAAGTTATCAGGTGCTGTCACACTTTGGCTGGTCATAGGTGTGTTGTCAGGAGCTTATAGGAAACCGCTGATGCAAACCAATGATTACCGTCATCGCCCGGATATAAGACATATATGTCTTATCTCGTACACGGGCAAAAATGCTTGGGTTATCTTGTATTTGGGACGGTTTAGGGTGTCGTATATAAGTCTTATAAATGGACAGAGAACCGTTTAGAAGATACCCCCTCGTTATACAATTGCCCCTAACCCCTACACTTGCCTAACCCGTACACAGAAATAGGTGTCTTGTAATAAGGCTAGCCTGTTTATAAGAGACACCCGTATAATAGACAACCCCTGTCTACTATTCAACACTGTCTTATATCCGGGCGATGACGGTACTTAAATATTTCATCTTATAGAACTGTCCCCTAAACTCGCCAACTCCTTTGACCTACATCCTTGGGGGTCAGGCTTACATTAAATGCATTGTGCCACATGATACACTATCACGCCTGTGCTGACGCGTAAATAAAAACTGATGCAAAATGCATGACATGCACGTATACAAAGTTTCTACGATAGTAAGAATCAGAAAGGATCTGATTCACTTCATATATCCATTGCTGCCCCGCCAGATCTGCACACAAAGATCTACACCCCAAACAAATACAACTCCCTGATTATAAACAACCTGCCGGTGTACACTACTCGCTCTACACTCGTGTATAATATCAGGGTTGAACTATCCCAACCCAGACCTCACCAGTACTGCTCGACTCAACCCCCATGGAACCTACTATCCTCCTAACCCCAAAAATCAGTACCAATTACCATACCAGTAACCTCACCAGCATAATTTCATCTCTGCTCCTCCACAGTTTCATCTCGCCCACTCAACGTTTCATCTCTCCTCCACAGTTTCACCTCAGCATGGACAGCCGCACACGCTTGGTTGGCGACCCATCATCCTCCCCACCCTCCACCTCCCTACCTCCTCCCCCTTTCCTCTCCACACTCCCACTCCCGTCCCTCCCTACCCCCACACCACCACTCCCAACCTCGTCCCCTCCCTCTTTGTTGTCCGGTCCCTCTGCTTGCCTCCTGGTCCGATGCAAGTGCTTTTCCGAGCTGGCTTTCTGAAGGGAGTTGGCCGGGATGATGTTCTGGGAGGGCGAGGGAGAGAGAGACGCACACCTCACCATCTCTAGGTCGCCACTGCCAGGCTCTTTCTCCTGCTGCTCTTGCTCCTGCTGTTGCTCCTGCTGCTGTTGCTCCTGCTTCGTATTTTCCTTTGGCGTTTCAGTCTCCTGCTCCTCTTTCCCCATGAGATTTTTCTCCTCCTCACCCACCCCAACCTCTTCATGCTTCTGCCCCTCTTTGTCACCCACGCTCCCTCCCTCCCCACCTCCCACGCTCCCAGCCCCTGCCAAGCCCCCCACCACCCCCCCACCCACCCCCTGCAGATTCCTCCTCCACGGGGAACTTCCAGGAACCTTCTCAGCCGGCCGGCGCCGCCAGGGCGACTTGGCTTGGGCACTGAAAGCCATGGGCGTCTTTGCATTAGCTCCAAAAGCAAGAGGCGATTTCGGTTCGGCACCAAAGGTGACTGTAGCGGCTGTAGCGGCTGCACTAGCAGGTGTCTTAGCAGCAGCTGTTACAGTAGTGGGGCATGTTGTAGCTGTAAACTCAGCCTTGGCAGGTGTTCTCGCAGGTGCCATTGCAGGTGTTTTAGCAGGCGTCGCAGCAGGTGTCTTAGCAGGTGTTGGCAACAGAAGGTTGGATCGCGCAGGGGTGAGGCCAGAGGCAGCCAGAAGGCGGTCCGTGTGTTGCTGCTGCTCCAGCTGAAACAGAAGGTCTGTCTTTTCTCTGTTAATGGAAGGGATGACGGACGAGAGAGAGGGCGAGAGAGAGGGTGAGAGTGAGGGGGACAGAGGGAAAGAGGGAGATACATTCAGTGGGGGCATGAAGCTAAGGGCAAATGAGGCAGCAAAAAGCTGGTCTGCATGCTGCGGCAGCAGCAGAGAGTCTATCCAAGGCATCATGAAGCTCCTCCTCTCTCTCACTCAACTTCCTCCTATACTTCAAGCCACACCCCATACCCCGGACCCATACCCCAGACCCATACCCCATATCCAGCAACGCACCTTTCTAGAGCAAACACTCTGTCCTTAGAAGCACCAAGGCCACACACCATCCCAGACCTACACCCCATAGAAGCAGAACCAGCAACGCACCTTTCAAGAGCAAACACTCTGTCCTGTAACACAGCTGCTGCTGCAGAATCCTCCTTAGAAGCACCGAGACCACCACCACCACCACCACCGCCAGCAGCGGCAGCAGCAGCAGAGAGCCTATCCAAGGCATCATGAAGCTCCTCCTCCCGTTCACTCAGCTTCCTCCTGTACTTCGACAAAGCCTCTTCAGCCCGCCCCTTCTGCGCCCTCTCACTCTCCCACTCCATCTCAGCAACCCGCAGCTTCGCCCGCAGCCCCTTCACCTCCTCCCTCAACCGCCCCAGCTCCCCTTCTCCCCCTCCTCCCCCCCCTCTCTCCCCCCCACTCCCCCCTCCCCCACCTCCTCTCCTCTCCTTCTCCCTCGCTGCCTCCACACCCTCTAGCTTCTCCCTCAGAGCCAGCACCTCATCCCTTAGCCGTTTCAGAGTCACCTCATTCTCATCGTTAAGGCTCACAGCATCAGCCAGAAGCCTGCTGTTGAGCTCGAGCTCCTCTCTCCGGGACTTGGCCTCACGCCTGGCTGCTGCTTCGAATTCCTTCCATCGCTCCACTGCCTTTTCCAGCTGCTTTGCTCGTAGCTCCCATATGCGCCCCTCCTCCCCTGCACTCCACGCCCCAGCAGCAGCACCACCAGCAGCTGCTGTGGCAACAGCACTAGCGGAGCCATTGCAAGCAGCACAGAGGGAAACAGCAGCGGCAGCAGCAGAGCTAGCAGCTGCAACAGCATCAGCGACAGCAGCATCAGACGTAGCAGCAGCTTGAGCAGCAGCAGCAAGAGCAGTAGCAGCCTCCTTTCTCTCCTCCTCCTTCCTCTCCAAATCTCCCTTCATCTCTACAAGCTGCCCCTCCAACTCCCACACTCGCCTCTCCGCCTCCCCTCGCTTCAGCTCAACCTCCCTCACTCTCTCCTCTTCTTCCTCACCCCTCCTATCCAGCACCTCCTTCAACCCACACACCTCCTCCTCCAACTCCCTCACTCGCCTCTCCGCCTCTCTCTGCTGCCCCTCCACCTCCCTCACTCTCTCCCTTCCCTCCTCCACCTCCTCCTTCAGCTCCTCCTCTCTCTTCCTCCTCTCCTCCACCTCCCTTCTTCCCTCTTCCACCTCTATCAGCAACCGCTGAACCGCCTCCCTTGCTTCCCTCAACTCCCTCACCGTCTCCTTCCCCTGCTCCCGCCCCTGCTTCTGATCCTGCTCCTGCTCCTGCTCCTGCTCCTGCTTCTGCCCCTGCTCATGTTCCTCCCTCTCCACCTTCTCCTCTTCCATTCCCCCCTCACCATCCCTCCCCATCGCCGCCATCTCCGCCTCCATTTGCTTCATCTGCTGCGCTTGTGGTGCCTCTACCTCATTCGCGCTCCCCACACTCCCCACCTGGCCCTGCACCTGCTCTCTTAAAGCCGCCATCTCTGCTTCCATGTGCTTGATCTGCTGCGCCCGCGCCCACCGCTTCTTGTTGGCCTCCTGCAGTGCTGCCGCCAGTCGCTCCAAGTCCCTCTCCTTCTCGTCCACTGCATGGTCCAGCACCGACAGCCGGTCCTGCAGCTCTGCCAACTCCTTCTCTCGCTCCACCAGTTTCTGTGGGGTTGGAAGGGGTGTGAAGGGGTGGGGAGGGGTGGGTGAACACAGGGCAGCAGCAGCAGTAAGAAGCAGAAGCAGACCTCGCTCCAGGTCCCTCTCCTCCTCGTCCACTGCATGATCCAGCATCGACAGCCGGTCTTGCAGCTCTGCCAACTCCTTTTCCCTCTCCACCAGTTTCTGTACGGTTGGAAGGGGTGTAGAGGGGAGGGAGCGTGGGTGGGGTGAGCACAGGGCAGAAGAGTAAGAGGTCGCTCCTGGTCCCTCTCCTTTTCGTCCACTGCATGATCCAGCACAGGTAGCTGGCCCTGAAAGAGGTCGCTACTGGTCTTGCTACCTTCGGTACCTTTCCCTAAACAATTCGCGTCAACTATGCTTCCATACCATCCTTCCCCCTCAATTAACTCACCCTCTTCACAGTCGACAGCTCCCCTGCCAGCTGCTGCACTGCCCAGTCAGAAGCTGATAAGTTCGTCTCGTTCATGCTCAGGGCCTCCTCCGCCTCCCTCAGCTGCTCCTTCAGCTCCTCCACCTGTCGTACACACATGAAGGGAAACGGGTGGTGGAAGCACGGGAACAACACCACTTAGAGATGACCCAACAAGCATCGTTCATACTCAGGGCCTCCTCCGCCTCTCTCAGCTGCTCCTTCAACTCCTCTACCTGTGGGGAGCTAATAGGGGGAGGCGAGATTGGCAAGAGAATTCGACTCAGCAGTTGGCTCACTCAACAGATTCGTCTCATGCATACCCAGCGCCTCCTCCTCCTCCCTAGCTGCTCCTTGAGCTCCTCCACCTGTTGTGCGGGAGAGGAGAAGGAAACTCGGGCATGTTAAAGCAAACCCATCGTATCCATGAGGCGGCTGACTTGATTTTGAAGGTAGGCAGGCTCTGCGTGGCCGCACATCATGTAGAAATCACTTTTGAGAATTCTCAAAAGTGATTTCAATACAGTAGGCAGGCTCAGTGTGGCCGCACATCATGCCAGATAAAACGTGGCATGCGGAGATTGAGCTGAGCACCAAACGCACAGGATGGGAAGGTGAGAACCAGATGAGATTGATCAACGAGCCCATTCACACACCACCACTCACCAGCTCAATCAAGTCGTTTGCCTCTTCTCCGTTCCCCTGCCTCTGCTGCTGTTGCCCCTGCCCCTGCCCCTGTCCCTGCTCCCTTAGCACATCAATCTCTCCTTGCAGCGCCCCTATCGCCCTTTGCAAGGTCTCTACTTCCCTCTGAAGCTCGTCCACCAACTCCCTTGCAGCGCTCGCCTTTCCCTCTGCCTCCTCCGCTGCCTCTCTCGCAGCACACACCTCCTCCTCCCATCGCCTCCTTTCCTCCTCCATCCTCCCCTTTTCCTCCTCCATCCGTCCCTTCTCCTGCTCCATCTTCCCCCTCTCCTCCTCCATCCTCTCCCTCTCCTCCTCCCACTGCCGCCTCTCCCCTTCCATAACTCGCTGCTCCTCCTCCCTCTCCTCCTCCCTCTCCTTCCTCTCCTCCTCTCTCTCCTTCCTCTCCCTCTCCCTCGCCTCCCGCTCCTCCTCCCCCCGTCTCCTCATCTCCTCAATTTCCACCTTCAGAGCTTCAATCCGCTCCTCCATATCCCTCTCAACCTTTCTCTTCTCATCCCGAATCCCTCCCATCGCAGCAACCACATCGTCCCTTGCCCCCTCCAGCAACCTCACCTGCACCTCCCTCTCCTCCGCCTCTTTCCTCAACCGCTCACACTCCCTCTGCACCGCCTCCCGCTCCTCCCGAATCACCCCCATAACCCTCTCAACCTCTCCCAACTCCTTCTTCCACTCCTCAGTCGCAACCACCGCTGCCTCCCTTACTTCCTGCAACTCTCGCTCCTTCTCCTCCCTCGCTTCTCTCTCTGCTGCAGCCTCCCTCACTTTTGTCGAAAGTTCCAGCCTAAGCCGCCCATACTCCCCTTCAACGGTCTCCAGCCTTCGCCTCACCTCACTCTCCCCCACCACCTGCCCTCTCACTCCCTCCAACTCCTCCCGAACCCTCTCCAACTCTTTTTCAAGCCTCTCAACCTCTCCCCTCAATCCCTCCACCTCCTGTTCTCTCTCCTCCTCTGCTCTCCTCTTCTCCTCTTCCACCTCACGCACTTTCCCCTCCGCCTCCCCTCTCCTCTTCACCTCCTCTTCCACCTTCTCCCGCATTTTCTCATTCTCCCTTTCCATCCCTTCCCGCTCCTCTCTACCGCTCTGCACCTCCTCCTCTTTCCTCCTAAGCGTCACCTCCACACACACCACTCGTTCCCTCTCCCTCTCCACCTCCTCCTCAAGACCCTTAACCTGCTCCTCTAACCTCTCAACCCGAGCCTTCATCTCCTGAGAAATCTCCTGAGAAATCCTCTGAGAAATCTCCTGCTTCTCTGCCTCTACCCGCCTCACGGCCTCCCTCTCCCTCTCCAACTCCTCCTGAAGCCCTTCAATCTGATGCTCAAGCTCCCTCACCTCCTCCTCCCGCTCCTCCATCCCTCTCTCTTTCGCTTCTAGCTCCTCCCTCACGCTCTCCACTTCCCTCTGCACCGCACTCAAATCCTGCCTTACTAACCCAGCTTCCTCCTCAGCCGCTTCTTTCCTCTCTACAGCCTCCGTCACTTGATCCTTAAGCCTCTCCACTTCCTCCTCCCTCTCCCTCTCTGCCCTCGTCCCCTCCTCCACCCTCCTCCGCATCTCCTCACACTCTCTCCTCGCCTCCTCCACTGCCTCCTCCGCCTCCCTCACTCGCTCCCTCACACTCTCCCTCACACTCACCAACTCCCCCTCAACCTCCCTATACCTCTCACTCAACCCCTGCACTTCCTGCTTAAGCCCTTCCCTGGATTTTTCAATAGCATCCACTAGAGCTTTACTCTCAGAACAAGCCTCCAAAGCCTCTTCTAGACGCCTCCGCATCTCCTCCCTCTCCTCCTCTGCTATCCTCAACCGTTCCTCAACTCCCTCATTTTCCTTCCCTCCATTCTCTCTCTCCACCTCTTCCAACTCCTCCATTCTCCGCACCAGCTCCTCCTTCTCACTCTCCCACGCCCGCATCCTCGTTTCAAGCTGCTCCACTGCAAGCCTACGCGCCTCTTCCGCCCCACCCGCCATTATCTCACTCTCTCTAGCAATCTCCCTCCATCTCGCACACTCCTCCTCCACCTCCTTCAATCTCTCCCCTAGGCCCATGTGTGCCTCTGCAGCATGGCTTAGCGCTTTGCTCTTCTGCTCTTGCTCCGATATACACTGCTCCGCTGCTGCCAACCGCCCCTTGAAGGACTGCCGAAACACCTGAAGATCCTCCTGGCTCAGCCGGGCCGTCAGGTGCTTCACCTGGACATCGTGGGTAAGAAGGAATAGAAGAAGTAAGCCAAGGCTTGCAGAAACACGTCGCGATTCTCGTGGCTCGATCAACCAACTAATGAGGTGTTTCACCTGTACAGTACCAGTAAAGCATGGAAATGGGTCGAACCTTGTCGATTTTCCTGACGCTTGCCGCGTTACCTGCGCCCCCAATCCCTCATTCACACCTCCCTCTAACCCCTTTCCCTCACGCCCGCCCATTCCCACACACCTGCTCTTTGAGCTCCTCGTTAAGAGCCTCTGCCACCTCCACCTGCTGCTTCTTCTCCAGCCTCTCCGCCAAACCCCCCAGCCCCGCCCACTGCCACCCACAATTACGCCCGCCCATTCACTTCCATCACTCACATTCGCTCATCCCCATTCCCGCGCACCTGTTCCTTGAGCTCCTCGTTAAGAGCCTCTGCCACTTCCACCTGCTGCTTCTTCTCCAGCAGCTGCCTCTCCGCCCGAGCCAGAGCCTCCCGCAGGTCCGGGCTTGCCGAGCCTGCCTCGCAGCTTTGAGCCAAAGCAGTCGCCTTGAGCCTACGCCGGAGCTTGCTATTCTCTGGAGGGAACAAATAAAAGGAGGAAAGTGAGACAGCCACAGAGGTTAGGAGACAGTCCAAAGCCTTCAACCCAGCCTGTTGCATTGTAAGGCGCTTCAAAAAACCGGAGGGGCTGATGGGTGCGAAGTGAAGTCATGAAGGTAAAAAAACTGTAAGATATCGACTTCTGAGAAACCTCCTTGCGCTACACCCCCTTGTGTCACAGCAGCGTCTGCTCGTCTGCTCGTCCACTCGTCCGCTCATCCATCTTCGTCCGCCTTCTTGAACGCATGCTCAACCTGCACTGCCTTCTCTCTCGCCATCCTTGACGGGAAACAAACTCGCAACTTTCGCTCAATGTCCTCGGTGGAAAGCAGCTTCAGAGGATTTTCAAGTAGGCTACAAACAGCGCTCGCTCACCTTCCTTCACGGAATGCAGCTTCTGGGAAGCCTCCTTGCACTCCAATCCCTTTTGGCTCAACAGCGTGGTGAGCTCATCCACCCGTTTGCCCTGGTCCTCCAGCCTGCCACACGCACAAGACAGGTGATTCGAAGAGGGACCCAGATGAAGCATGGTGACTTTTGAGTCGACTCAAAAGTCAGGTGATTCAAAGAGGGAGCCAGATGAAGCATGGTGACTTTTGAGTCGACTCAAAAGTCAGGTGATTCAAAGAGGGAACCAGATGAAGCATGGTGACTTTTGAGTCGACTCAAAAGTCAGATGATTCAAAGAGGGAACCAGATGAAGCATGGTGACTTCTGAGTCGACTCAAAAGTCAGGTGATTCAAAGAGGGAGCCAGATGAAGCATGGTGACTTTTGAGTCGACTCAAAAGTCAGGTGATTCCAAGAGGGAACCAGATGAAGCATGGTGACTTTTGAGTCGACTCAAAAGTCAGGTGATTCAAAGAGGGAGCCAGATGAAGCATTGATTCTCGTCAGTTGCTCGAGACACACAAGAGAGGGATCCACGTCAGTTGCTCGAGACATTGGCCTCAAGGCACGTCAAAGCTCAAAGCGAGAGTCATCATTCTTTTAGCTGGTCAACCTATCAGATTGCCTGCAACCATTTCTGAATGAAGACGCTGCTCTGAAACGACAGCAAGCCACTCACATGGCCTGCAGCCAGCTCAAACGCTAACAGCCCACTCACATCGCCTGCAGCCAGCTCAAACGCTAACAGCCCACTCACATCGCCTGCAGCCAGCTCAAACGCTAACAGCCCACTCACATCGCCTGCAGGCGGTTCTGCCCGTCCATGGCCGCCTGATTCTCCTCCCCCAGCCTTCACCCTCTGATCTGAGGTGACATCGGAAAGACAGCCACTTCAAAGGCAAAATACAGAGCCACTCACATCGCCTGCAGGCGGTTCTGCCCGTCCATGGCCGCCTGATACTCCTCCCCCAGCCGCCGCTGAATCTCCACGCTCTTCCGCTCCTCCTCCCGCACAGCCTGCACAGCCAACGCGCAATGTGCACTTGATTACAAAAACATAAACCTTCACTCTACTCCCGCCCGCAGCCTGCACAACCAACGCGCAATGCACACTCAGTTGAAGAAAGAACAATCGACGCGCAAGTTCCCCTCGCTTCACTTTTCACGCGGCTTCCACTGCACCATTTACCTGGCGCGTTACCCTTCTCCTACCTTCTCCATGCGGTAAGTTGCTTCCTGCAGCCCCTGCTCCTGCGCCAGCACCTGCTCTTCCAGCTCGCCCACTCTCCCTGTCCATCTCTCCTCTCTGCTCCCATGCATTTCACCAGCCTACTTTCTCCACACGCCCCCCTTCTCCTACCTTCTCCATGCGGTAAGTGGCTTCCTGCAGCTCCTGCTCCTGCGCCAGCACCTGCTCTTCCAGCTCGCACACTCTCTTTCAAACCTCATCTTCCATACGATACATGGGCCCTCACCTTTTCCATCCTGTAAGTGGCTTCCTGCAGCTCCTGCTCCTGCGTCAGCACCTGCTCTTCCAGCTCGCACACTCTCCCTCGCAGCACCTGAGACTCCCTCTCCGCCTTCTGCACCTTCTCCTGCAGCCGCACCCTCTCCCGCTCCATCGACGCTTTCTCCTGGGAATGGGGGCAGACAAGGAACACACATAATTGAAAAAGGAGCAGACGAGCACGTGCAACTCCCTCTCCGCCTTCTGCACCTTCTCCCGCAGTCGCACCCGTTCTCCCGTTCTCTCGCTTTCTGCCTTGAAGGCAACAAGAAATGGTTAGGCAAGGAGTGGTTACAAGGTCAAGAAGTAGGTAATACTTTCTGTGTAACCCATCATTGTAAGACGTAACAGGGCCGTACATGTCTGCACCGCAATGAACCACGGCGTACCTTGGTTCTGACGGTTGAGTCATGGTGAAGCTGCTTCACCGTGTCGGCTAGCCGCTTGAAGTCCTGTAGAGAAACGAGAACGACGACGAGAGAAGTGACGAAAGATGACGGATGATGACGAGATGTGACAAGAGCTTCTTCAGCACAGTAAAGGCGACGGCTTGCGAATCGCGTGCCTGTATAGCTTGAAGGTGTGACATGCATGGTGGAAGAAAGCAGGCAGCAGGATTGGGAAGTGGGAGTAACGAAGTTGGATTGAAAGGGATGTGGTATGGGCCTTACCTGAGTCATGGACCGTTTCTCCGACTTCTCATTCTCCAGTTGCTGCAGAACACACACACATGCGCACACAATAAGTGTTACGAGTGTGTTACCGCGTTCGCGTTGGGTCGTCCAAGCAATCAAGTACTCTCAAGTCGCTTACAGTGGATGGGAAATCACAGGAATTGCGGATATCTCTTCATGAATTTCAAGCTGAACGAGAACTGAGCAGTTACCAGTTACAAGTTCTCGCGAGAGTCGATTACGCGTAGAATAAACAGAAACGACGCTGTCGGAATGAAGTGACTTGTGAATCGAGACGAAATCACCTCGTTACAACTTTGCAAGGCGAAAGGGTTCGTTTATGCCTGTTGGAAAAATCGATGGCCTTGTGAAAGCCGTGAGGCACTGGGGACGATTTTAAGTCGACTAAAAAATCATCACCTGGATAGAAGTCTTCAAGAAGCTAAGAGGATTTCCAGCATACCCAGTGAAGGAAATCGATGGTCTCAAAAAGGTCCTTGATCTCGCCATCCTTTTCCTTGATCGTCGCGAGCAGATGACATTTGTATCGACTCAAAAGTCACCTGAATTGGGTTGTACCTGGTGAAGGGAATCGATGGTCTTGTGAAGGCTCTCAATCTCGCCATCCTTTTCCTTGATCGTTGCGAGCAGATGCTTCGACTTGTGCTCTGACGAGAACCAGCCCGCTCGCTGCGCCATGGTTGCTCGCTCCCGTCAAGCCGCTGATAAGTACGTGGTCGTATGGACGCTAGATGGACAAAAACTCGACCGGCATCGCGCAACAACTCTGGAGAATTGTATCCGGGATCTTACTTTCCACTATAATTCGTGATACTAAGAGTCAATGAAAATAATACAACTGCGTTGGAAAGATTCGCGACGCAAGTTGAAGAAGCATCCGACAGCCAGGCTTCCGCCTAGTTGTTCTGTAAATAAATTAGGTCCTTCACTCGAGTCCTACTATTAGCGTTGTATCACGGGGATTCCAGTTCTACGAGGAGGAGGAACAAGCAAGCCGAGCTTGACTGAAACGGCCTAACGAGTTGCTCGGAGACTACCAGAACTGCCTTAGAAGAACCTAATAAGTGAAGCCATCTCCGTGAAATGCCCAGTGAGTCAGCACATCACGGTGATTACATCACCTTGGAATTTCGTCTCCGTAATTCAGGCACACAAATGATGGGAGAATCGACGATTCACATCACATCAAACATACAGTTTTCCCGACTCCCAAAAATCATCGCCGTTCACAGCGAAAACACCTCTGCCGCTGCTTTCAGCGAAAATCATGAAGGTCAGCAATCATCAGAAAACTCTGGGATTGTTGAGTGGGAGTTATCAGTGATTGATGGGTTTGCCAGCTAGCAATGTGTCTGCACTCCGAGCTGTTTGGTTGGGTTCCTCACGATTTTCTACGGTTCATTCATAGCGCAGCACACTAGACAGAACCTAGAGAAGCCTATCAGAGGTTGTCCAAGCCCTGACAGTCAGTTGCCTGCAGAATTTGCCGCCAATTTCAAATTCCGTCGCCCTCAAGACATCTGCTCCCGCAGCAGGCTCTGTTTTGAAGTTTTGCATTCTGCCCGGACCGTGTGATGTGCACCTCACCCTGATGCGTCATAGAATTTGTTCGGTTCGGCTTGTGGCAGGGTGAAATGTCTCCCGCGCTAATTTGAAAATGGCCTGCCGCAGCGCGCGTCAGAAAGCATTCCATCTCATACTCGATACAGAAGTGTCAATTACTTCGACATTGAATCCCATGAAACTGGATTTCTTTAGATGTTGTAACAACGTAAGAACCACGATATACTCCAAAAATTTCACGCTGGACTATTTTACTTGCTCCCAGGTGTCGAGCACACCCGAAGACACCACCTACCACACTTCCGAGTGCCATTTCCGCAGCATATTACTTGATTGCGAGGCACCTAGTAGCGAGGATGCCTTTAGGAAATGAGGTCACGTGGGATGGCGACCGTCCATCGCCGATTAGTCGCATGCCAGCGCGTTCTCCTCGCCGCGGGTTACCACGCCCTCGCGCAACCCTCTTCGTTCTCTTCGCCATCCTCGTCGCGGGATGCCTCACCGCCGTGCAAATCAGTGCGTCGCGAATCGCAGTGTCACGAACGCCTCTTTCCCCTAACGCCATTGGTGCAAAATCATAGGGTTAGCATTCTCCTCATCGTGTGCCTTCTAATTTCGTCCTACAAACGAGTCTCTCATCCTATTTCCGATACAGCCATGTGAACGTTTCATTCCAGTCGAAACACATGCGTCTCTCGCTCGCTACACAGACATCACCCCTCAAGTTCACGTGTTCGCTCGCATGCTACACTTTACCCCTCCCCCCGCTCCCCTCTCCCTCCTCCGCGCCCCCTTTCCTCCCTCCCCCCCCCCCCAACTTCCCCTTCTCTGCCCCCCCCCCCCCCCCTTTACCCCCCCGTTACAGTCACATGGGCGTTTCGCCCGGGCAGAGGCGTGGACGCCGAGTTGAGCCACGTCAGCAGCATGCACAGCCCTGGTGCTATGGCTACAGCCATAGCTGCCGCTGCTGAGGCTCGTCAACATGCTGCCAGTGCTGCTGCTGAGGCTCGGAAAAATGCCGCTACTGCTGCTGCTGCTGCCTCTGTTGCTGCTTCTGCCAATACTGATGCTACTACAGCTAGTGATGATGCTACTACTGCTGCTGCTGCTTCCTCCACAGCTTCTGCTGCTGCTAATGCTTCTAATGCCTCTCTTACTGCTGCTGCTAGTGGTGCTGCTGCTAGTGGTGCTGCTGCTAGTGATGCTGCTGCTAGTGGTGCTGCTGCTAGTGGTGCTGCTGCTAGTGGTGGTGCTGCTAGTGGTGGTGCTGCTAGTGATGATGCTAGTGCTTCTGCTGCTGCTACCACTGCTGCTGGTGACACAAACGAGAGTGAATATGGCGCTGGGGTTATCGAATCAGCAGAAGTGATTACCACTCTAAACCGAGACATTACCAATTCCGACCTGCAAATACTCCATCTCAACTACGGTCTACACCACAAAACATCTCTTCTCTCCCTTAACTGCACGGGGAAACCCTGCCCGGACTTCTCGGGCAGCTGCGGAAAACGTTTCCCCAACATCTCAGCCTGCTGGAACGCGGGATTGGTGGATGAGGGGTATGTGAAGCCGCCCACTCCAATAAACTGCCCGAAAATAAACAACGTGAACGACTTGAAACCAGAGGGGAGGGATATGAGCTGCAGCCATTACACGGACTTTCACTGGCACAACCAGGCAGCCTATCAGGTAATCTCGTTATTGCATTGTCTCATATAGCCGTTTCTGTCTTCATAAGCCAGAGAGAGGGGTTATTAGCTGCAGCCATTACACAGACTTTCATTGGCACAACCAGGCATCCTATCAGGTAATCTCCCTGTTTCTGTTTCCTTGAATGAAAGAGGGGAGGGATACGAGCTGCAGCCATTACACTAACTTCCACTGGCACAACCAGGCGGCCTATCAGGTAATCTCATTATCACAATGTCTCATATAGCTGTTTCTGTCTTCATGAGCCAGAGGGGAGGGATACCAGGCCGCTTATCAGGTAAATTTCATATCAGTGTGCTACTGTATGTATCTGAATATCAGAGAGGGGAGAGATACCAGCTGCATTTGAGTCAACTCAACTTTTGAGTAGACTCATAAATAAATATAAGTGTGCTACTGTATGTATCGGAATATCAGAGAGGGAAGGGATACTAGCTGCAGACTTTCCACGGATTTCCACTGGCATGACCAAGCGGCTGCTGTGTGATGTGCATTCCACAAGCGGCTGCTGCGTGATGTGCATTCCACAAGCGGCTGCTGTGTGATGTGCATTCCACAAGCGGCTGCTGCGTGATGTGCATTCCACAAGCGGCTGCTGCGTGATGTGCATTCCACAAGCGGCTGCTGCGTGATGTGCATTCCACAAGCGGCTGCTGCGTGATGTGCATTCCACAAGCGGCTGCTGTGTGATGTGCATTCCACAAGCGGCTGCTGTGTGATGTGCATTCCACAAGCGGCTGCCGCGTGATGTGCATGTGAACGGCGATGAGAATGTGTTTGATCTCGGTTCTCCTTTTCACCTCTTTGTCTTCCTTGGCCTCCCCCTTTTTTCCTGTTCCCTTCCCACCACCCGCGCAGGTGTTTCGTCTGAGTGATGTGTATGTGAACGACGATGGCAATGTCTTCAATGCGACCACTCTCTTTAACAAGGGTGACTGCAACGGGCACCTCAATGTAAGCATTTTATATGAATAAACGTGTAACTGTAGACGTTGACAAAGCAGTCTCGCTCGTCTACCGGCAGGCAGACGCATTCTAACACGGCTTCACCACACTTATCACCTATCAGGCTATCACCCGTCCCCCTGCCTCCCCTCTGCCCCCCACCAGTTCTCCTTCAAGGCGGGGACGACCCAAGTGCACTACGTGGACAAAGCTTTCTCCCTCGTGTATCGCCAGGCGGACGCGTTCTATCACGGCTTCACCATGCTTATCACCTATCACCCGTCCCCCTGCCTCCCCCCCGCCCCCCACCCAGTTCTCCTTCAAGGCAGGACACACACAAGTGCACCACGTCGACAAAGCTTTCTCCCTCGTCTACCGCCAGGCGGACGCGTTCTATCACGGCTTCATAGAGTGGCAACCCGCCTTCTATATTCTCCACAGGGTGCTTGCCGCTCATCCCAACATCCCGCTCCTGGCTCGACCCTCCCAGGTAAAGCTGCTGGTTGCACTTCAGTGTATCACCAGGCTACCAGGCAGATGCATTCTATCACGGCTTCATAGAGTGGCAACCCGCCTTCTACATTCTCCACAAAGTGCTTGCCGCTCATCCCAACATCCCACTGCTAGCTCGACCCTCCCAGGTGAGGAGCGGGTTTATGTTCTTTTCTCGGATCCGAGGGTGCACATTTCACCTTTTGAGGCGCCTCAGAATTAGTCAGAGGCTCTTTTGCTCGATGGAACTCCAGACAGGAGCCATGGTCTTTACGTGGCAGCAACTAGGTTCAACTAGTAAAAATTCTTGTTGGTTCAACTTTTTGAGGCGCCTCAGGATTAGTCAGAGGCTCTTTTGCTCCCATCCGAGGGTGCACATTTCACCACCCCACCCGCCCCACCTTGTACCTCGGCGTCATGAAGTGGCAGCCCGCCTTCTAAAACCTCTACACACTGCTCTGTTTTGAGTCGACTCATAACACGGCTCTACGACCTCTACACACTGCTCTGGATCCGAGCTACACTGATGAAGGCTGAGCGGGTATGATCCCCGTGAGCTGCAACTACGAGTGAAAACACGGCTCTGCAACCTCTACCCACTGCTCTCGCAGCTCGTCCCGACATCCCGCTGCTAGCTTGCCCTTCCCAGGCTGACTTTTGGGTCGACTCAAAAGTCAACTCTGCTAGCTCGCCCTTTTCAGGCAAGCCATTTAGCTGCTCTCGCAACCTTTGGGTATCGCGCATAAAGGGATAGTTTTGACTTGGATCCAACGGTCCTAACTCGCCCTATTCTCCTCTAGGCTGAGTTAAGGCTAGTAGGGAATGAATAGGCAAGCCATTTAGCTGCTCTCGCAACCTTAGGGTATCGCGTTTTCCAGGCCAATGCCTTCTATCACCCCACATTCTATCCCCCTGTTCCCACACCACACCCATCTCCCTTCCATCCCTCCTCAGCGGTGTTTCCATCAACATTTAGCCACACAAAGCAACATTTAGTCGGAGTCAGCACCAAGTATTCCTGCCGGCTAGCCATTCCCGAGGGAACCCTTCTTCACATGAAGGAGCTTTACCTACTGCTCTACCAGGGCTGTGGATACCCCTTTCAAGGGCTAGCCCAAGGAAACCCCTTTCCACCTTCTCTCCCCCCCCTTTTTTTTTTTGGGCTTTTGGGTTCGTTCCCCTTTCCTCTCCCCCTTTTCCTGCACTACCCCATCTCTCCTCCATCCCTCCCCAGTGGCGTTTCTATCATCACACAATGCAACATTTAGTCGGAGTCAGCACTCGGTCTTTCCGTCGGCTAGCCATTCCCGAGGGAGCCATTTTCCACGTGAAGGAGCTTTACCTGCCGCTCTACCAGGCCTGTGGGAATCCCTCGCCCGCTATCTGGCACACCCTTCGTTATAATCACATCCTCCTGCCAGAAGGGCTGCCGTACTTTAATGAGGACAGGTGGCAGCTCAGGAATGTGCCACGTGGCGATGGTCAGGGGAATTTTTCGGGCAGTTTGGATGGTGGGTTGGGTAATGCAAGTGTGGGTTATCAAGACCGGGAACATTTGTCAAAGGTTTTTCCAATGCCAAAAGATTGGATTGTGGTGGTGGTGCAGCGGCTCGGGGCCAAGGGCAGGACGATGAAGCAGTTCGGGCAGCTGCTGGGGGCAGTTCAGAAGCTTTTTGGGATGGGCAGGGTACACGTCTTCAATGGCACACAAAGTGTTAATGAAAGTAAGTTGAGCTCCTGTTCCTACGTTCAAGCTTTTCTTTTTCTGCTCTTTGCTTTGCGTTAGCTCATCACTCCCTTGCTCCTTCCATCCCCTCCTCTGTATGATTCCCTCTTTGTCTTTCTCATTCGGTCTTGTTCTCCTGGCAGCTCGGGATTTGTTCAGCAATGCTCGTCTTCTGGTTGCAGGGCACGGGGCAGGGATGTCCCATATGATATTTATGCCACCCAACGGTACAGTGCTGGAGATTCGTCCCGATGATTATGATAACGCGTGCTTTCATCATCTTTCGCACGCGTGCGATCTGAATTATTATCTTGTTTTCGGCAAGGGTGCTAGGCTCAAGCCCTTGACGTTTGATAAGCAGAAGGTCATCAAGGTTTTGAGACAAATAAAAGAGGATTTTGGTAATCCTCGCGATTGGTAAGCTCATGTCTATCTGTAATATGCACATGCTCTTATCCCAAATTAGAGTACTTGTCAGCCTTGATTGAATTTCTTCATCAGCAAGTAAAAGCTCTCTCTGGTAACTCCAGCTGGACTGCTACCAACACATCTCATCTTCCAACAGCTTTGCAGGAAGAATATGGTAATAGAAGCTGATGAAACTATTTGACAGTATTCTACATGCTACACTTCTAGTGTCTTGTCCTGATTGACGGCTTCTTCAATGTGACTTCAGTTCTTGTGAAGATACCAGTCCAAGGTTGGTGTTTCCTCACTGATAGGCATTACCGTGCATGATCACTCTCTTATGCTTCCTCACATCAGTCCCATGTTCGTTTGCTTCCTCACATCAGTCCTCTGTTAGACTGGAACGCGGTGCACGAAATTCAATGCATAAACAACACATGTACACAATATAAGCCAAACTCATTTCAGAGCTTGAGCCTGAAATCAAGGTGTCCATTCACCTGGCTGGAACATCGATCCAGCCACTGGCAAATGCAATCCCAAGGATAATGAATGGTGTGAGCAGTCCGAAAATGGCGATATAAGGGAGAACTGTGCTCATGGGGCCTTTTCCCTCTCTCTCCGAAGCACTCTGCCAATATCTGAGAGGCGGGGGCCAAAAACACACATCAGAGAGCGTTAGTATTGTGCGTCATGTGCGTTTCGCTAGATTATTCTGCTCGTGTAATCGGCACATGGAAAACCAGCACGTAATTAACCATGTTACTATATCGGTGCATGTTCTCAGCGCTTAGCATTACTGTGAACAGGAGGAAAAACTTACTCATCAGGCTCCTCCGCTGAGGTGATAAATTTTTTTTTCTCAGTCTTGCCGTCACCTGAGGGACGCAATGAGATGGTCATGGAAGGCAATAATTCAGGCAGGGAGCGAAGAGCAGCTGTTCGAGGAATTGTGCAATCGAGAACCAGAGTATTCTGATGCAATGCGTGAGAGGCCGAAGAAAGATAATTTTAAAACGTCTCAAAACTAGAATTGGGCGAACGATAACCCGGGTACTGTGATGCATTGCGTGAGAGGCCGAAGAAGAAAGCAACACCCAAACATGCCGTCGCCGGAATGAGAACTAGCTAGTGTTGAGACATACCTCCGCCGCCAAGCATTGCGTTAATTTGGGTAGGTCTTCTCAGAGCGAATCGGCATTGGAGATTAACGGACGGAAGCCGCCGTGCCACGAGGGGAGTGGAAGCGCTAAGGGATCTTCTATCCGAGGTTTGACTCTTGAGGACGGCGGAGGCTGGTGCGGAAATGCCGGCGACAGTTGCGGAAGCCATTGCAACCTGGTAGGAAATATAAGTCAGCGGAACAGCCGAGCTTTGCTACGGAGTCCGCACGCAACTCCAACACGCCAAGAACCCGCTAACTGGATTTGGAGGGAAACAACCTCAAGTCTAAATGAGGATTACCGCAACTGCAACAATACCAGGGAAATAGAAAATTTCGAACTGAATGAAGCTGCTGATGCTTTCATTCAACAACCGAATTTCCAGATTCCCAAATTGCATCGCTACTGCCATGACTGAGGTGGAGGGCTGGGTAAATTTCTGGCGATGCGTCCTATCGGATTGCTGAGAGGGACGTCACCACGAGTCCAGCGAGGCGAGCTGCTGTGCTGTATCGAATGACACGTCAGAGTCCCAGCTGGTTATTCCCGATCGCTTTCTTTCAGTCGCTCCACGTCACCACCGACTGATGATGTAGGGCTTGTTGAAGCGTCAGAACGAGTGCGAGCCGTGTCAGCATTTGGCATGGTGTCCAACGGGAAACCACAGGCAGCTCGTGCGAGCATCGTGGAGCTGTGTGAGCCGATTGTGTGGTTACTCGAACCAAGAACTCCCCATAGTAATCCTCTGGTAATGGCTAAAATATTACTCAACCAGAGCGCTTAAATTTATTTAGTCAACTAATAAACCATATTCTGCCAGTATTACTTGAACGCATGCAGACGGGATGGACAACGAAACGTCCCCACTAGAAGGGGACGAAAAAATATAGAGCACGAAAGGTACTCTCAGCCAACTAAACAGTATAAAATGTCTGGCAGCAGAGCTTCAAGCATTGAAGAGAAGCTCCTCTACATGTAGCCTCTTCATTTGCACAAGGAAGTTCAACTCTTCCCACAGAAAAGAGATCCTGCCAGCTGAGTCGACCAGCAAGGTTCCATTGACCCACTGTGGGTTCTTGAAGTTGTAGTCTGCTATTCTTCCCTCCCCTTCCAATCTGCCAAAGGAATAGACCACGCATTGTAGGAAACAGAATACATGAGTCACAGGAAAGCAGAAGCAATGGAATCATGCACCATGCAGCAGTCATCCTAGACTGTGTTTTGATGAAACAGAAATGAAGGAAACGCAAGCACTGGCAGAATCCAGATACTCACAAGTTTGAGAACTGAAGCTGTTGTCCCAAAGCAGGATCCACCGCTTGCCCTTGCGCCTGAATCAATCTCCTCGCCTGTCCAACCACTTCATTCCACCGGTCACTCTCGTCTGCAGCAGTTTGCACCGAGTCGATCCGAGCCTTGAACGAAACGTGCCCTCCAGGCACATTGGGATCTCCAACGATTTTCGTAGCAACAATTTCACCGTTCTCAACCGCAACGTTGAGAATTTCAACCCCATGCTGCCCGAAAACTCCCGTCCAGAGGCCCTCAAGATCTCGCACCCACGCGGGCAAACCAGATCTGCATGAATCCGTTCCCGAAGTGTCCGCGTCGCATGGTCTCGCTGCTTTGCTTGTTTGAATCTCTCCCGCAACAGGCACGCGATTATAGGTAGACTTCGGCACAGGTACCCTTTTCGTCTGCCCGTCTGACCATTCCGACGTTTGCTGGCTCGCTTTTTGCTGCCCGAACACATTCCCATCCTTCCCGCTGGACCTTTTGCCGAATCCCGCGAAGGCCCCTCCGCCAGCGCCCATGCGTGCGCCAAGGCAGTGTGCCTCGTCCGCGTAATGAAGTGCACCAATCGCTCGCCGCTTCAGCGACCACTCCGCGCTGCTGGCGGAAGGAACAAAAGAGGCAGAAGGCAAAGCAGAGGCGGAACTTTCCGCGGCGGAAGCCCTGGCAGAAGCCCCCGCGGAAGAACCGCGGGAAGCAGAAAAAGCCACTTGCGGGGGAGAAAACGCCGCAACCCCGCTGGTAACCGCGACGTCACCACTGCCGGCGTGTGTGTCTCTTGTTACTTCCACACGCGATCGTAACCTTCTAGATTCGTCAGGCGAGACCTCGTTACTGTCACACTCGGATCGAGCACGCTTGGATGGAACCGCCGCGACTGACTTCGACGAACTTTCCTTGGACGTGCTTCCACGATCTTGTTTCAATCCAGTCAAATACTGCAGAGCGCGGAGCTGAAGGCGCTTCGAGCTTTGCTCCTCCTTCCCGGTGGGACTCATGGGTCCCGCTTTGTGGAGGTTCGCGCCGCCGATACTGAGTCCTGATTGGCTGAACCGTTGCTGGCTACAGGCGACGCCACCGCTGCCCGCAGATCGGCTCGAGGGGGGGCGCGGAGGTAAAGCAGGCACGACTGCGCGAATCGCGGAAGGAGGCACGGCTGTAGCGGCGGAAGATGTGGCAGAAGTCGTAGCAGTTGGGAGCACGGATGAGAGCGGACCGGCTGTAGTGGCAAATCGGCCCAGGCCAGCTCGCTGAAACGTCGCCTTGAGCCTCTCCGCAGCGTCCAGCGACGACAGCGACGACGCGGACGACGGCCCTGCGACGGCGCCCTTCAGCGGCGCCGCTGGTGGCGACACCCGGTTACCAGCAACCTTGGCGAAGGGCGACGCGGCGAAGCTCGCGGGCGGTCGGGACGACGGCGGGAGGAGCGTCTGAAGGTGGAATTTTGCGCGCGCGGGGGACTCCCAGACGAGCACGCCGGGCAGCTCGAGCGGAAACTCGTCATCCGCGCCCCTCCCCGTGACGAGACTGAGCTGCGTCGTGCCGTCGGGGAAGGCGGAGATGGTGAAGAGGCGCGCGGAGATGAGATTGCCGTCTGCGGAAAGGGCAAGGAAGAAGGGGGGGAGGGGGAAGGGAAAGGGGGAGGTGGAGAAGGGGAAACGGGGGATTGGTGTTGAGAAGGGAACGGGAGTTGGGGGGGGGGGGGGGGGGGGGGGGGGGGGTGGGGGGGGGGACGAATCGCATTCAGAGTACCTTAAAAAGCTGACAGCAGCAGACTTACCAAGCCAATCGGGGATGATTCGATAAGCGACAACCGCCATGCGCTCCCAAGTGACGTAAAGCAGGCCGCCTCTGGGAGCCAGGTCCTCCGCCGCCCACACCCCCACCAGGGGACTCAAGGTGTGTAACAGGCGAAACAGGCATTTCGCCGAGTTCGCGTGCACGAGCCACTCGCTGAGCGCCAGCTGGCCCTCCCACTTTCGGCAGAGAGTCAGCCACGTGTTGGGCTGGTCGATGAGCCCGTGCAGGGTGCGACACGTCAGCGAGGCGGCGATGAGATCCTTGGGTTTCAAGCGGTGGAGAATGGTGCAGATGGTATCGAGGGGCAGATCCAAGAGCCCGGTATTGCTGGTGGGGGCGCTGCTAGTAGCAGCAGCGGAACAAGACGTTTTGCTGGTGTTGCAAGTGCCTTGCTGGGTGGCAGTAGCAGCAGCAAACGCCGCAGAAATCGTCATGGTTGTCCGCTCCTAAGTCCTTCCGACGGAAAAAAGAGACAAAATGAACCCTGAATTCGTCTTATAACTCAACAACTAACGCTCTCCAGCCTCTTGCTGACAGCTATCACAGAATCGGGACTCGGGACTCTGGTGGCTATGATGGACACAATTGAGATCATATAACGAAGACTCTCCGTCGGGAGAGAGAGAGAGATGGAGAGTGACAGCGAGTGAGAAGGGAAGAAACGACTTCTAGAAGAAGGCCAAGAGGCTGAGCTTAGGGATGCAATGAACAGGCCCAGAAATATCTTCAAGGGTCAATCGCGGAGAACCAGGAGGTACGCGAGTCCGGCTTCTACTGTACTGCCTCGCCGTTCTGCTTCTTTTGCGCTTTGCGCGCTGCGCTAAACGCTTTCCGTAGGTCTAGGAAGGCACTAGGTTGTACAGCACGGTACGATCGCACTCAGTCACCGCTGACTAACGACGAGATAGCCGGCCACGGCGGTCGACAAGAAGCAGCAATTGACTCGACGGACCAGAGCTTTGGTCCAAAGCAGCTTCTGGTTTTGGGTGGCAACTAATAACGACCGCTAAAATATCTCAATAGTTCTGATCACGCATGTCGACCACATGCATTTCGCGCGAGGTGGTGCTCTAGTAAGGCTGAAAAGAACGGATTTGGAAACAAATAATAGGCTTCGTTCGTTCGCGAGCCAGCAGTGCTGACAGCTGGAATAGTTGCTCGAGTTGCCTTCGCAACGCGTGTGAGCGACGGCGTGCGAAATCTCTCGAGATTCGCAGGGTGCAGGGTTGACGGAACGCGTCGACGACATGACGCCGATCGGATGTACGGGCCCTGAACTCCTGGGGTGAGAGGTAATTCTGTATATTTCATGCTGCAGGAGGAGTATCCAGGGGAATGAGCGAGCGCTTTGGATTGGGTCGCTAGGCCAGGGTCCTATGCTGGAAGTTGAACAAAGCGGCACTGCATGAAGCGAGACACACAAGACAGGAAAGGAGAGGAAGGGAAGAGAGGAGAGCAAGTGTCGCGGCGACGAGGCGACGGCCGGGGTGACCCTCTCTGGAGCAAGCAAGCAAGCAAGGTGAGGGGTGGTTTGAGGGGGAGGGGGAAGCGGGGGTGGGGAGAGTGTCCGATCCGGGGACTCGCAAATTGGAGAGGGGTGGGGGGGGCGGGGTGGCTGTGTGTGCGGGAGGATGAAGGTTACGTACTGTACAGTGTTGCGCTGTACACTGTAGAACCAAGGGACGTGCGATGCGAATCGTGAGTGGTGATCAGTGAAAAGGGAGATGGCCGCAATTTAGGGCTAGAGGGAACCCCCGTTGCTCCCCCCTTCAAGCCAACACTTCTTCTGCCTCGCTTCTGGAAAGGAGTACAGTACATTAATACAGGGGACGAACTTGGCACAAACTGGTTATAGGGGTGAAATGAACAGCGTGGGTGCTAAACAGGGTTTCTTTGCAAGTGTTTCGAAGCTGCCCGAATCAGGGCCAAGTGCAGCAGCAAGAGCAGCAACAGCTCCTGCTGCAGGGGGACCTCAAGGGGCATCCACTCTTCGCGCTTTTTCCCCCACTACTTTCGCTTTGTTCGGAGAGAGTTGCGCGGGCGATTTCCCCCTTGTGCGAAAACGGAAGAAAGGTCACTGCGAAGTTTTCGGAACTTAACGAGATTGTGCGAAACTGTTCCTTAACCTGGTTTCATCGCCCACGCTAGTGCGCGAAATCAGGGTGGCGCCATCCGGCCAGAGCCTTACGAAAACTGGGCCAGGCAGAGACTCTCTCGCCCAACGCACCACTACCGCGTTCATTGCTGGGTTACGGTGCAACATCACACATGCTTGGGGTCCCCAGTACGATGGAGATCGGTACAGTGCGAGAATGATTAGTGTACAAACATAACCAAATGATCATCCCTCAACCAGCCGTTCCCTCCCAGCCCATCCCACATGATTGCCACCATCCTGTCCGTCCTTGGAAAGCGCCAACAGCGGGTCATGCAAATCATCACATTTCCATGCTCCAGTCACCTTTCCAATCAGCTGACCGAAAATGTTCAGTGGCTCAGCAGCTAGATTCGAGTCGCTCTGAACGAAGATAAGCTCTCGCGCGACATCCATCCAATGGATTCGGCCTTCACTGGTTCACCCTCCCTCTGGTTCATCTCCCTTCAAAAACAGGGCAGCATCCGTGCATCTCATTCACCGTTCTTTGCAAATCTTCCAGATGGCGTGCGCTGATTAGTTGAATCGGCAACCTCACGATTGTGACAGCCACGTCGACGAGTCAATGCGTAAAAAGCGAAAAATCTCTTGACCTGAATACAAACTACAAAATAGAGTCCCTTTAGTGCGCTACATTCTAATAAAACAAACAATACACAAGGTACACAACACAGCAAAATAGTTCTCAACATGGTGAGAACATGATGTCTGCCCATGTAGGATAAGCCCGCTGCGTTCTCAAAAGAAACTGGTAATCGACAATTCTAATTGCCCAAGAAAGTGTGTGATATAAGATTTAAGCACTCTTGCATGCAATGCTCCCTAATAGGGAGTGCTTGACGATGACAGGTGTTAAAAATAGTACAAGATCAAGTAACAGCTCTACCGTTTTCGACCAGTGAGAACACCTGCTTACCGTATGGCCCCGGATATAAGCGCCGTCCGATTAAAGGCGCCGGCGCTTCTATCTGGAGCATGGCGCTTATAGAGGATCCTCGATTAGAAGCGCACCCCTTTTCAGGTCTGAACTTATTATAAGCGCATGTGCAAAGTCTGATATCTACTTATCATTCTAATTTCACAGAACATTACATTTTTTAAACAATTCCTAACAAGAGTTGTTTCACCCTATCAATTTCAAGGTTTAGGGTACTCAGGTTGAACCAGCTACTCAGGTACTACAGCCTAGCTACCTACTCCTCCTCGTCAGACTCGGGCTCCTGGCAGTTGTTGCCAAAGAAGCCGTCAGCGATGATGTCGTCATCGACATCGACTTCACGAGTCAGCTGGCTTCGCCTGTGCGCCATGGCAAGCGAGTCCTCGCTGCCGTCAAGAGCGTTGCTGATGCCACAGGTGAGGAAGGCGCGCTTGATGAGGTCCGCGGGCACTGCCTTCCATGCCCGCGAGATCCACTTCACTACCACCGCAGGAGGCGGCTTCTTGAGGTTCCCTGCACCAACAGGCAGAGACACATCACTCTCATCAGTTTTAATAAACGGTTCACGAGAGCATGTCAAGGAACGACTGTAGTTCTTCTATGTAAGCTTACCTGCTGCTGTCAGTCGCTCTTGGCCTTCGTCTTCAAACCACTTCTGGTACTGCTGGCGGACGGAGGCCTTGAACGACTCGTTGATAGAGACGTCCAGCGGCTGAATCTCCGCCGTACAGCCTGCCGGGATCACCGCCGGCACGATGTTGAGCTCGGCGAACTTGTCCTTGACCCCTTGGGTGAGGTGACCGCGGTAGGAGTCGAGGACCACCATCGCGCTCCTCGCCTGCCTGCCGAATCGAGGCCTAAGAAACGGTTGGACGCACTCCTCCAGCCATCGGATGACGCCTTCGGCGTCCATCCACCCGTTCTCGTGGCAGGCGACGACGACATCTGCACAATGATACACAGGCAGGGTGGTTAGCGACGATTTAGTAAAGCAACGAATCAACCCATTTAAAGTGCAATTTCTTACCGAGCGGGAAATCTCCCTTCGGCACTGTCTTGCGCTTGAAAAAAACCCACGGTTTGAGTTTCTCCCCATCCGCCGTGCACGCCAGCATCACGGTGACGCGCTCCTTCTGGTATCCCGCACTCCGGATGGGCACCGACCGCACGCCTGTCTGTTCCACGGTGGTGGTGGCGGGCATCTCCAGCCACAGCGGCGTCTGGTCGGCGTTGATGATCCACGTAGTCTCGATGCCGCGCTCACGCCGCCTATCACGCACGTACTGCCAAAACTTGCGGCACATCTCCGCGACATCTGTAAAAAAACGAGGCAAATAAAGAAGATGCGTCAGTATACATGAACTGGAACGACCCACAGGCTTGATACACGGTTAAGACTTACGGGCTGCAGTTTTCTGGGCGACGCGCGTCTTCATGCGGACGCTCAGATTCCACCGCTTCCGAAACCGTTCCGACCACCGCTGGCTGCCCTTCCACTTCACAAGCGGGTAGAGCAGCTTCATGAACTCGTGCGACCACTCCTGCAGACGGCCGACGGAGACTGCTGTTCCCTTGCGGCGCCACTCCAGTAGCTTTTCGTACACCTTCAGCTCCATCGGGCGGTACCATGAAGACCTCCCGCGGCCGTGCATGCGCTTCCGTGCGGCGTGCACCTCCTTGAGGAAATCGGCGGCGCGCTTCCACTCCGTGAGACACTTCCGGTGGATGCCGCTTTCTCGAGACAAGGAGCGCACCGACACCCCCACATCCAGCCGCGCGACCCACTGCAGTTTTTCTTGCGCAGTATAAGCTTGACGCTTATGCTGGTTGACTTTGTTCCTGGGAGAGGGGGGGCGGGCATCACGATTCTCAGCAGAAGGGTGAGGTCGCTTGCGGTTAACAGGAGGGAAAGTCGGAATCGGGAGTTT